CTGTATTCTATATTTTGCAAATGTACTAACAACCAAAAAAAGAGCATCGGGTTGAATTAATTACCTGACCAATAATATAAAATTATAGTATGAACTGAACTAGTTTAAATTATTAGATTAGGAATAAAAATATAAAAATTCTATATTAGAAAATGAATAAGAATAATCTTTTCATTTTAGTATCAATTCTAATAAATAATAAAACGCAATATTACACAACACTTTTAATTTAAATTTTTAACTTAACTTTTTCCTTTTTCTCTGTTTGGTCACTATAATTTACTTTATCATAAAAGTAATTAGAAAAGTAATTGCTAAATCCATTTTTCATGTAACTGTAATTAAATTAATATAATTCCTTTTTTAAAGAATATACTTTGTAATTGTAATTAGTTCCTTTTTTTTTAAAGTAATTTGTAATTGTAACTATTTTTAAATTACAAGTAATTACCCAGCTCTGGTAGAGAAATAGATTTTTCTTGATTGAAGTCCTGTTCCCTACATTCCTGTTATATTAAGGATTGTGTAATTAAAAATGTACTATACGAAACATGAAATCAGATGCTAAATAACAGGCAACTGAACGTAAACAAAAGAAATTGCGCACATATCTAAGCAAATCATTAATGAAAAAAATTTGAGTATGAGGGGTACTTACCACCAACAAAATAAAAACCACTATGTACAAGATAAATTCAAATTCAACTCGAATAAAAATAAAAATTGTTTAACAAATATTTTAGCTTATACAGGGTGTTCCTAAATAAGTGTCGCAACGGAAAACTGTAAATTCCTAAAGAGAAACATTATTTTCCTCTTCCATTTTTCTCTCCGGGCTTTCTTTTTCGAGATACACGGTGGCAAAACTTTTTTTCAGATTTTTGCCAATATCTTAGGAACCGTTTGAACTACAGGACTGAGCTTTTTTTACACACATTACCACTATTAATAGCTACTTGTTGCAAATGTTGTTAAATTTCGTTAAAATTGTTAATTATTACTATCTATCTTTTGAATTACAAAAGATTTTCGAAACGTTAGCAAAATGTTTGTTTTTGTTCATAAAAAGTCATTTTTCTTGAAAACGGTTGACTTTAGAGGAATTAACCAAGAGAATTCTATTTGTGTAAAATTTATTGGCGCTTCTGAATTTGCTGTCAAATGTTAATTCTTCCAGTGGCGTAAATGTTAGGGGGGAAAACCCTTACGATACCTTAAAATCTCCACCACTGGCACGTTCAATGAACTCGAGAAGGGTGCGAAAAAGTAGCTATTAATAGTGGTAATCAGTGTACAAAAACTCAGTCCTGTAGTTCAAACGGTTCTTAAGATATTGGCAAACAATTTTTAAAAAATGAAAGTTTTGACACTGTGTATCTCGAAAACGAAAGCTCGGAGAGAAAAATGGAAGAGAAAAAGAATATTTCTTTTTTCAAGAGGAATTTACAGTGTTCCGTTGTGACATTTATTTAGGAACACCCTGTATATAAAAGTTAAATATATTGATAATAACTCAGTGTATTATTTTTACCACGTCTAAATAAAAATTAAACAAGAAAAAAACATGTTAACATGTTACTGCACAAGATTTTATGCAAATTTTGTATAAAGTGTAGGTCGAGATATTTCCAAACTAGTACTTTATATAAAATTTTGTAGAAAATCTTGTATAGTGGTAATAGGATTTAAAGAATATTTCTAAATTCCCCCTATGTGGCATACCGCGCCATCTATGTAGGTTTTATATTGAGAGCGAGAGAGCAAAATTATATAGCTCTGCCTCTTCAACTACAATTACACGTTCACAGTCCGTAAAGAGCTTTTTTACGGACCGTGTTACACGTTCACTTGGTTATCTGGTTGGTAATCTGATATTCTGATAAGAACAAGCACTCTGTTCATTTTTGTTGGAACAAAAGATTGCCGCGCCATCTATAATCTCTGCACAGAACTTTACATATGTAGGAATCGTAGGAATCTGTAATTGGGGTGATTTTTGGGTACTACATCACATTTTTTCATTCGTGCTTTATTACTATCCACCATTTACCACCCTACAACTGATTTAAAAAGGTAAACAATAGGTAACGCTGATAAGCACACTCATACAATTGAAATTTGGGTGCTGCCCAGTAGCGGCGTACACAGAACGGCCGTTACTTAATGTTACACCTTGTATATGTAAAAAATGGAGTTCAAAGAAAGTACAAACTTTAGACAAACATTTTATTACTTTTTAAAAACTAACATTTAAAATAGTGGTTTCAATAAATCTAACCTAACCTACAAAAAACATAAATCTTAAAAAAATTAAAATATATCTGTATATTCTACCTGATCACTTTAAATTTCATGACTTCTGACACAATGTATCTGGGAATCAATCGGAATTATCTTCTCAAAGGACTTGGTCTCCTTGCCAAGTATGTTGGCGGCTTTATTTGCCGATTATCCAAATCAACTCTTCATTGTACAAAGGCGAGTTCTAAAACAAACAAGGACTTTTTAAAAATAATAACAAAAAGTTTTTTTGACAATAATAGTCCCCTCAATGCAGCGATTTGCACGGTGTAAAAGCATGTCGAATAGGATGACTTCTACGTCCACAAAACGCTTTCCTTTCATCGACAAATGCATTTTTCCGAAACGATAAAAGTCGCACGGTGCCAAATCAGGCGAATATGGGGATTGGTTGACAATTAAAATATGATTTTTAGTTAAAAGATCGGTCACAAGTGTCGATGAGATGGCATATAATCGTGCAACTCCAACTTAAAAGTAAAAGTAAATCAGTATTGTCTGCACTTTTTAACTTTTGACTTGTCCAAACGAGATTTTTTGGGTTTTGGATCGTCTGGCGCCTTCCGCTCGGCACTTTCGCGCTTGGTTTCTGGATAATATTTCATCACCAGTTATAATGTTATAAAGGAAGTTTTTGTCTTTTTTGGCCTCCATGATGATGCCCTTCGAATGTTGAATTCTGAGCAATTTTTGGTCGTCAGACATTTTGTGCGGAACAAACCGTGCACACACTTTTCGGTAGCCCAAATCATCATCATAAATTTGGTTCATTAATTACAACGTTTCGGTAAAAGTTTTACCAACTTTAAAACAAAATTTAATACTGTCACTTCTGACGCAATAACTCCGCTTTTATCCGACCAAATGTCATGAAATTTTGACAGTACATCAGTGAAGGATTTACGTTTCTGGCGCAATGCGAATAGGGAGGGTAATTTTAGATGAAAAAACAGCGGAGTGCTATTAAATTAGATGGAGGAAATTGGAGATAGGGGTGAAAATGCACCCCGTTTTTTTATTGCAGCTCGAAAACGAAGCAAAATTTCCCTATAGTTCATAGGAAATATTATTTAGAGAATAGAATTTCTCATCAAAATGGCTTATTTAAAAAATTTTAAAGGAAAATTTTATGCAAAAAATCGTTAATAAACAATTTGAAAAAAAAGCAAAAAATTCGATTTTTTTATTTTTTTTACTTTTTTGCCTCTAGTTTTTTTTGAGTAAAGATAAGTATAGGCATTGCTTCATAGAAAAAAAAGTAGATCACATTTCCTTCAAAATAAGAGGTTGTAAAGTATTTTTGGATGAAAATTGACTGATTTTCGTCGCGTTTACCTTTATCCGTTTTAATTCTCATTTCAAGGAAGGAAATAAAACGTTTAACGATTTTTATGACATAACTTGTTCGAAGGGTCATTAAAAATAAAAAAACGCGGGGTGCTACTAAATTAAACGATTGAAATTGAAGGTAGAGGTGAAAATGTACTTGCAATTTTTTAAATATAGCAAGAAAACGAAGTAAAATTTCGGTATAGTTCATAGAAAAAATTTTGTAGAGAATTGAATTTCCCATCGAAATGGCTTATTTAAAAAAAATTAAAAGAAACATTTTATGCAAGTAATGGTTAAAAACAATTAAAAAAAAAGCAAAAAATAAGAATAATTAATTGAATATAATAATACTAACAACTCATATTCTAGTATAAAATGTAGTTAATATGTTAACAGTTTTAAAAATATTAATTTGTTGTTTTCATTATGTTTATACAAAAACTTGAAAATTAAAACGCAAAATTACGCTTTAATCCAATACTGTTATAGAGAGTTTACTTTACTTGTGTAGTTATACTTTTACCTTGGGCTACTGTGGAGAGAAATTATTGTAGTTGCTTAACTTTGATTTTTTACAATAAATTGAAAATATTATTGCTTTACTGTTGGTTTGTTTATATGTTGAAGTTTTTTTTTTATATATCGTAGTTTTTTCTTCCCTGATAATTGCCGAAACTAGTAGCAAAGAAAATAAATAATTTTGTACTCTTTACCCATTACACTTATTAATCTTCAGTCTCTGTGTCGTGATGATCCATCCGGGGATTGCTCATTTAATGTGCAGCCTTTCATGAACATACCAACTAAAAAAAAAATAAGTGCAATAACAAGAAATACTCATCTTGAAAAAACTAACCGATCGTATCATCGTCGTCTTCGCTCTCGTCCTCCTCGTCTTCAATCTCGTCCTCCTCGTCTTCAATCTCGTCCTCCTCGTCTTCAATCTCATCCTCCTCGTCTTCGTTCTCATCCTCCTCGTCCTCATCGGTGTCGCTATTAACTTCACTGGTCTCCTCCCCAGTTGATACGGCTATAGCGTCTTCTAGGCTAAAAGTTTGTAATTTTTAAAAAAAGTATTTTTGGTGATTATTTTTCGAGTTATGTGGTTCAGTTTACTAATAGTGAAATTTCAGATAAGCATTTATGTTATGGAATGGCTCATGGCAAGACGCATTTATCATGAAAGATTTCTTCGGCGTGTGTGCCTAACGAAAGAACTTTTGTACGTCTCCATGCACGACTTTCTGAAACAGGCAGTTTTAAAAGGTTGTCATCGGGAGGCCTGTAACGGTACGAACAATTCAAATGGAAGAAGATATTTTAAATGAAATTGAAGCAAATCCCCATACTAGTAGCCGGAAAATTGCCAAAGAACTGAAGAATACCCATGTAACAATGTGGCAGATTTTAAGAGACCAGCAGGTACATCCCTACCATACGCAACCTGTGCAAGCTCTAGAGCCTAGAGATTTGACTGTAAGACTAACTTTTTGTGTTTGGTTACACAATAAAATAATAAGGAATCCAGGTTTCCTAAGTCGAATATTGTTTACACATGAAGCTTGTTTTTCTCGCAATTCAATTATTAATTTCCATAACAATCACATATGGGCCAAAAATAATCCACACGCCTTAATAGAAAATGATTTTCAAGAACAGTTTTCTTTTAACATTTGTGTCGGAATTGTCGGTGACCACCTCATTGAGCCTCATTTTTCTCCACATAAACTTAATGGGGAAGAATACCGAAGGTTTTTAGAATTTGTTTTGCCTGGACTTTTAGAAGAAGTTCCAGTCATGGAAAGATTCTGTATGTGGTACATGCACGATGGGGCTCCACCGCACTTTAGTCTAGTGGCGCGGCAAGCTTTGGATGAAAATGACCATAATCGATGGATTGGGGGAGCAGGCCCACAACCATGGCCTTAACACTCGCCCGATATGGATCTGCTCCTAGATTATTTTCTCTGTGGACACCTTAAAGCATTAGTATACAAAACTCCTATTGAAAGTGAAGAGGATTTACGAAATAGAATCATTAATTGATGTGATATAATAAAAAATATGACAGGTATTTTAGGGAGAGTGCGTAATTCAATGATGATTATTGTATTGAAGCCGAAGGGGGCCATTTCCAACACTTATTTTAGTAAAATTCGTTAGTTTGGATGTTAAGAAATGTATTTAATTTAGTGTTTATTCGTTGTTGTTGCTATTACATATTATTAATAAAAAATTATAAAAAAATGATAATTTCCAAAAGAAACTTTTCCGCATGTTTCTTGAGTGGTCTATGGATATGCAATTAAGTTAAGTGGCTTTTATTTTTTTTTCCAAAAATTAATCAAGATACGAATTACATTCAAGAGACAGAAAAGTTGTATTTTAGCTGCTTAATCCAAAAAAATATAAAAATTACAAAAAAGTCAGTGGCATACATTTTTTTTGTAAAAAATATTCGTTAAGGTGCCGCTTGGGACACCACTGGACTAACAACTCTAATCAAATTAGGGTTAAATTAGCCCCTTAACACTACATATAACACTGCCAAATTACAACAAAATTGGGTAAAGGGTATTTAAGATATTTACGAAATAGTAATTTTTTTTTTAATTGTAACACCCTGTGTCTTGAAAACGAAGCATCTGCGGACCAATGTTTATATGAACTTTTTATCTTAAAATCACTCAAATAATCGTTTGTTGAATTTATTGTACCTACTTAATTAACACCCCGTATATACAGGGTGGTCCAGATTTTAATAGACAAACTTCGAGAAAGTACTAAACAACAAAAATTACATCACTTTGTTCTATGAACATAGTCGCAGAAAGCCACCATTTATGAGATACAGGGCGTTGAAATTAGTAAAAATAAAACATTTTTTTTAAATATCTGGAAAATCACTTCATCAAATTTATCCAAATTTGATACACATTTTTCACTATTATAGCAAACATGTCGAGCTCAACTTTCAAGTAACACGAACAACAAGTAAAGGTATATGAAAAACAAATATATTAAATCAATTGCTCGAAGTGTCCATCTCCAAACTCAATGCACTTTTGGCATGTTTTGGTTATCACAGCAGCTCTGATTAAAACTGGATTTTGCTTCAAATTAGTACAGCCCTCAATTTGGACTGTATGCATACAGAACTAGGAAAATTATTAAACAAAAATGTGTACCAAATTTTAGATAAATTTGATAAAGTGGTTTTCCAGATATTTAAAAAAAATGTTTTATTATTGTTAATTTCAACGCCCTGTATCTCATAAACGGTGGCTTTTTGCGCCTATGTTCATAGAGCAAAGTGATGTTAATTTTTACTGTTTAGTACTCTCCCGAAGTTTGTCTATTAAAAATCTGGACCACTCTGTATACAGGGTGAGTCATTAATAATCGTACACAGCTCATTGGCAGATTGTTTACGTCAAAATATAGCAATCGAGTCAAACATGCCTTAATCAATTGTTGCTCCTTTTCGTTCTACAGGGTGAAAAAGGGGTTCTACAGTTGAAGAGATATTTTCGATTTTTTGCTATATTTTAAGTATTGTATATGGATCGATTGTTTTAAAAATTTGTAGTTTTACGTTTTTTGAGGTGGCAAATACGAATATGCAAATAGTGTTGAGGTCACGTCTAGGGGGCGCTAGTTGCACTGTCGTGTCGATGTAAAAATATGTCTAACTTTTTATATTTTTGAATTTTTTAACTAAAAATTATTGAACTTAGTTCAATTCTAAATAAAAAAGGTATACTTGTTACAGATCGATAAACTCAACTGTTTTTGAGATACAGACGTTTTAAGTTTTTGAGATTCGACGGAAAATAATTTCTAATTAAATTAGAAAATTATTTTTTCCCAAATTGACATAATAAATTGACAGCTGTCACAACAATGTCATATTGTTTCTGCCAATTCTACTCAATTTGAGTATTAATTAGTTTTTTCCTGGTCGTTATTTTTTAGAGAAGTGAATATCTTTATAGAAATTTCCCGCATCGCATCGGATTGGTAGCAAAGTACCTCGGCCTGCACATAGCCCTGTTTTAAATCCGCTGGATTCTTACTTTTGGGGATATCTTAAATCATTATTAATGGCCATGAACATGAACAACCAATATTCAATAATCAGTTCAGATTCTCAAACAACATAGAACTTTATTTAACGTCCTACAAAATTTAAATAAAAGGCTAAGAAAGTGCATTGAACTCGCTGGTGGTAAATAATTTGTTAAAATATGCATAATAAAATTCTCAGTTGCTGTAATGTTTGTCTCAATTTTTAATTCAGGCTTGGTATCTTAAGACCTGCTAATTTTCTAATTTAATTCTCGCCGAATCTCAAAAACTTAAAACGTCTGTTTCTCGAAAAAGGTTTAGTTTATCGATTTGTAACTAGTATACCTATTTTTTATTTAGAATTGAACTTAGTCCAATAATTTGTAGTTAAAAAATTCAAAATTGTAAAATACAAAAAGTTAGACAGATTTTTACGTTGATAGGACAGTATAACAAGTGCCCTCTAAACGTGACCCCAACACTGTTTGCATATTCGTATTTGCCTTCTCAAAAAACGTAAAACTACAAATTTTCAAAACAATCAGTTCATACATACTTAAAATATAGATAAAAAACGAAATATTTTTTCAACTTTAACATCCTGTAGAACAAAAAGGAGTAACGATTGATTAAGGCGTGTTTGGCTCAATCACTATATTTTGACGGTTTTGACAATCTGCCATTATGCTGTGTACCATTATTAATGACTCACCCTGTATATAGGTGTCTCATAATTAGTGTCCAATAATTTACCACTTGATTCTATTGCCAAAAATAAGAATATTTTCTCATATAAACATTGGTCGAGAAATGCTTCCTAAGGGAGCTACGCCCCCCTAAATGGGGCCTAAAAATTTATTTTTTTTTTTTAATATTTCCGAAATAGGTCGAAGGATAATTATGAATTTTGATACCATAAACACTCATTAAAAGTCGAAATAGATCATCATAAAATTTTTCAAATATTTTGATCAGGGGCGCCTCAATTGGGGGGGTCGTCGGTTAATATTTGCCTCAATTTTTTTGCTTGTCGAAATTTTCAAATTCAGAGGACAACATATGATAGTCCTTTATTTCCTCCACAAAAAAGGTTCTTTATTTCTTTCGATAAAATGCTCCACTTTCAAGAAAAACGGATTTTTGTGCTTAGAAAGGCAGACTTTGGAANTAATTTACCACTTGATTCTATTGCCAAAAATAAGAATATTTTCTCATATAAACATTGGTCGAGAAATGCTTCCTAAGGGAGCTACGCCCCCCTAAAAAAATTTTTTTTTTCAATATTTCCGAAATAGGTCGAAGGATAAATGGGGCCTCAAAAAATTATTTTTTTTTTAATATTTCCGAAATAGGTCGAAGGATAATTATGAATTTTGATACCATAAACGCTCATTAAAAGTCGAAATAGATCATCATAAAATTTTTCAAATATTTTGATCATGGGCGCCTCAATTGGGGGGAGGGTCGTCGGCTAAAATTTGCCCCAATTTTGTTGCTCGTCGAAATTTTCAAATTCATAGGCCAACATATGATAGTCCTTTATTTCCTCCACAAAAAAGGTTCTTTATTTCTTTCGATAAAATGCTCCACTTTCAAGAAAAACGGATTTTTGTGCTTAGAAAGGCACTTACACTTTGGAAAGTGTTATAATGTATTTAAACCGATTTTTCTCGAAAACAGATTACTATTTCAATATAAAACAACATTACCATTTTTAATAGAAAACTCAAATCTATCAAATTTTACTGTTTAAATTTGAAAATAGCAACATGTAATAATTTGGGACAAATTTCGCCTGAGACATCGGTTTAGAACGTGGTTGCCGAAGTTATTTTGTGAAAAAAAGATGGTATAAACATAATATGCTTCATTTCCGAGATACAGTGTTTAAGTTTTAATTTTTTATTTATTTTTATTATTTCAGAGTTTTAAAGATATTGACTCGAAATTTAAAATACGCTTTGGGGGGATAAATGTACATTTTTTGGAGTGATCCGAATATTTCTGCTTGCACCAGTGGCACTCGTGCGAGAATGCGACAACCTTTATTAAAAAAAAAAATATATATGCGCCACTGACTATTTCCAGTTTTGATATTTTTTTAGAAATCCGCCATCAATTCTGAAAGAAATAGGTTAGGATGGACCGTTTTTGAGGAAGAAAACAAAACATATTTTATTGCTTGTGATTAAAAACGCAAATGTTTTTAGTCACTAGAATTGTCAAACAATTTCCATTGTGATGTATAATTTCAAATTGTAGTGCCTACCTATTTACTTTTTACATAAACTTATTGACATTTTTCAGATTACACATAGAAAACTTAGATCTTAAGAGTACTTTTAAAAGTTTAATTAAAAGAATTTAACAATTACACAATCGGATTTTAAAGAACTCCGCACTTTTCTTATGGGAAGTGGGTTTCGGCCAATTTTTTTGAAACTTCGCAGGTTGATAGTTCTTAACATGCAGATCGAAAGTCTCAATGGGCACAAAGTCCCAAATCCATCCTTTTCCTCCCAAAAACTACCTCCAAGTAGCGGGGGGGATTTAACTGATTTCTGCATGTAAAACAATTTATTTTTTTAATCAACCCAATAACGACCCCAAACAACCACATTTTTGACTATCAAACTACCCCACTTGACCCCGCCCCCCACAAACCCCCCCGCCCGCCACGAATCAGCCTACGGATTTTCCAGATTACTGTATTTTATAGTTGCACGTATTTTTTGCACGTATATTTGCACGTTTATTTTTTGCAGGAATTTTTTCACGCTGAATTCGAATCTGCAACTCAATTTTACGAAATCGGGCCAGGAAAATTGTTATTAACAATTTAATTGTTTGTATAGCTGTAGAAAGTTTATTTGTCATTTTATGAAAAAATATTTCA